ATATCTAACATGCTAGTTGAGGAGAGATAGGAAAGGAGGCATGAAAATTGTATAAGAACAAAGCCCTATCCTTAAATGACTTTTGATTTAAGTAGATATGCAAGAAAAGAAAACAGAAAATGACTACCTTCCTCAGTTTACTTGCTTACAATTCTTTCCCAAAAACACCGCGTTATGGGGCGGGGGGAAGCCCTCACACAGGAAAAATATAACTAACTCTTCTGGGAAGTTCAACATTTTATAACAATTGGTCTCTAAAATTACTGAGAATAAAATGTCTAGAAAGTGACAAATTGTAAAGACAAGGTACCCAGGAATAAAAGCCTACAAGATTGCTTGTAGTGAGTTAGTTAATGGTAGAGGCAAAACAGAATGGTTGTTCACTAACAAAATGAACCAACTCCCAAGACAATGCATATCTGCTAGCATAACGCAGAAATATAAAATTTTAACTGAAACCCAAACCTTCCCTCTCACTATGGTACCTAGCCCTAATGGCATGTACAAAATAAATCTGGCATTTAGATTATAAACTAAGTTTCAGTAATAGCTGAAAAGATCAGCGAGATATAAATATATTATTGAATCTGAAAGGTAGAAAAACAATATGTGGAATTATACCAAGTTCTTCCATATTACATCCTGAAGTTAGGATATAATAAAATCTCAAAGCAAGGAGTATTGATATTCTACCATAAAAGATAATTTTGGAATAGTTATATATAATATATGCTCAGTCCTGATCTATGACCTCTCCAGTAAAATTATTTGGGAAACTGGAAATGCAGAGATAGTAGTCACTTTTTGCAGATACCAGGTAGATTTCTAAGCTATACAATCCATGTAGATAGTGATGAGCAAAACAATATGCTTTAATGCTCCTTCTGCCTCCAATTTATAAAGTAAATTCCATTCAGTCCTCAAAATGGATTGTTAAAGTTTGGATATTTGACCCTCCAAACCTCATGTTGAAATTTGATCACCAATGTTAGAGATGGGGACTAATGGGAGATATTTGAGTCACAGGGTGGATCCCTCATGAACAGATTAATGCCCTCCCTGGAGAGCAGTAAGTTCTTATACTATTAGTTCCTGAGAGAGCTTGTTGTTAAAAAGAGCCTGGCACCTGCCCACTCCTACTTCCACTCTCTTGACATATGATCTCTGCACACACAAGCTCCCCTTCCCCTTCTGCCATGAGTGGAGAAGCCTGAAAGTGCTCACCAGAAGCAGAGGTTAGTGCCAAGCTGCTTGTGCAACTTGCAGAATCATGTGACAAATAAACCTTTCTTTGTAAATTACTAGCCTCAGGTATTCCTTTACAGCACATTAAACAAAGACACTGTTTCCAAAAGAAAAAGTCTAGGGATCAGCTTGGGCAATAGCTCACATTACCCATAAAAGAAACTGTCCTGTGGTAAGTCTTTCTATTCACCACAACATCCACTTTCACACTGTTGTATTTTATTTCGTGCTTTTTTGATTGTCATTGATCAGAAAGACAATTCCATTCTTTGTTGGATAACCAGTCTATACTTCCAAAAGTGAAAAGCTCACTGAAATAGAAGCTACAATGGTTGAGAATGAGGTCACAAATGTGAGTGAGACAAAGTAAAAAATGGCTCTGAAGCTTAACAAGCCAAGAAATATTAGTTTCATATGATGCAGAACAGTCAAAGGGACTTAAGGATAATAAAGTTTCATATTTAAAATAGATCAAACTGAAGAAATTTCATCTTAAATGAAGTTTTTCTACTTCAAAAGAAAAATTAGTATATTATTTGCCAAAAAAGTTCTTATGAGTCATAACAGAAAAATCTAGTAGTTCACAATTTGTAGATAACCATAAGAATTATTAGCCCCTATTAAACATCATTTTGCAACTAGATGCAAATCTTTTGTAATCAGAATATCAATCTTTACATGAAAATTAATGTAAGTGGGTTTTTTAAGTATTTAAAAACGCTTAAGTCAACTAAACATCTCATATTTATTTGCTGTCTAAATATTTTTTCTCCTCTTAAAAAAATAAGGAAAACAAAGGAAGGGGGTTCAGCATTATAAAACCCACTACTATACCTGGGATAAAAAGCATTCCAAGAGATTTCAAAAAAGAAGGAAAATAATGAAATTAGCAGAGACAAATGCAATATTATGCATTTACTCAATTTCACCTCTGGTATCTACAAAGTTAAAATTTTATGAGCTTTAAGAGTTCTAATTTGAAAATATGCCCTGCACTAAAGACTACACAAAGTTTTTTTTATAGTAGTCCCAAAGAAAAAGATTCTACCTCCACTACATCTCAAACTAAAAACCTAAGTATCACTTTTGATTCTTACTTTTCCCTTACCTCCCATTTCCTCCTATCAAATTGTATCAATTTTACTACCAAAATATTTCCAAGTTATCTATTTGCCTTCAGGGTTCCTGGGTAGTCTACTCCATCTTCATCTTTAAACATTTATGATAGCCTCCTAGCTATTTCTACTTGTGTCCTCCTCTTACCCAATCTCCACATGGCAGTATTCATGATCCTCTTAATCTAAATCCTATCATATTATATACAATTCTTCTACTAAATCTTTACAACTTAGAAGCTTCCCATTTCACCAAAAATGAAATTCAAACTCCTAACCCTGACTCTCCACTATCTGGATCCTGTCTCATTCTCCAGGCTCATGTCACATCATTCTTCTTCTCCATCACACATTCCAAATATATCTATCTTTTTGGCCCTCAAATAAGTCATTTCTCTCCTAGTAAACAGTCTTTGCATTATCTATTCTCTCTTCTTAGAAAGAACTTCCTTCAACTCTTGGATTGTTGTTTTTGTTTTTAAGATTTAAAGAACATGTTGATATAAAAAATTCAAAGAATACCAAAAAATACAAGGAAAAAATAACGACTTAAAATTCCACCACCTAGAGAGAATTACCATTAATACTTTGATACTTCACAGATCTCTCTGTGGATATATGTGCCATTATATGTTATATGTATAAATAATCTTACATAAATTCCAACTCTTTCCACACTGGTTCTTCCTCATACTTTACTTCTGAACCCAAATATCAATTCCTCAAAAGTGGCCTTTCAGGACCATCCTAAAGTAGCCTATTTTTATCATATCAGCCTGTTTATTTTCTTCATTGCACGTATCTCTCTCAAAATTAACTGTTTCTTTTCTTAGTTGTCTCTATTTTTTCTCTTTCCAACTCTAGTAAAATGTGAACTCCATTAGAGCAGAGATCTTGTCCCTATTTTCTCTATCACTAGGGTCCAGTCCAATACCTAACTTTTTTAGTTATTGGGCAAATAACTAAAAAAGAGATAATGGCTTTGATTAACATTTACATAAGCTATGAAATCCCAGATATAACTCTCATTCAAAAGTCTCTCTTGAGCTCCATTTTCATACTTAACTGTCCACTTGACAGCTCCATCTGAAAAGCACACATATATTTTAGTTTCAGTGGGTCACCAAATCTGCTCCTCCTAACGTTACTCCCTATTTAGATGAATAACACTACCATCAACCAAATTCCCAAGCCATAAACTTGGGTTTTATCGTTAATGTAACTCCTCTCCCTCACCCTGTATCCAACCACTTACCAAAAACCTCTTCATATTATCTCAACTCTACCTCCTAAATCTTCTCAGTCCATCTATATCATTCACTCCATCTGCTTCTCTTCAACTTCACCATTATAGTGCAAATCACCACTCATCATTCCTCTCCTGGACAATTTCCATCTTCTGGTTATACAATGAAATAGTAATCTAGATACTGCTATGAAGGACTTTGAAGATGTAATTGAGGTTATTACTCAGTTGATTTTAAGGTAGGGAAATTATCTGGGTTTATACTGGTGGGTCTAGTATAATTACTTAAGCTCTTAAAAGCAGATCTTTCTCCCAGCTCAAGGTAGAATAGGAAGTCAGAGAGACGCAGAAGTTAGCCAACAACCTGATTGAACCTGTAAGTAGATTCTCCCCACAGAGACTCCAGATAAGACCCCTGGCCGGCTGATAACTTCATTTAGGCCTGTGAGACTCTAAGACAGAACCCACCTGAACTTCCAACCTGCAGAATTCTGATATAATACATGGATGTTGTTTTAAGGTGCCAAATTTGTGGCAGCAATGGAAAACGAATACATAGGCTCTTCTTTGATCCCCACTCTCACCCCAGACTGGGTTAGTGCCCCTACTAAATGATCCCATAGCACTCTGTACTTTCATAATATTCATCATATTATTACTTAATGTATGCATTTTAAGATCTATAGTCAGAGATTTTCTATATTTGTTTATATCATGCACTATTATCATCCAATATCTACATAATTGGTATGCAGAAATGTCTGCTAACTGAATGAGCAAACTTTTTATTCAACTGTCTCAAAATTTTCAATTATGATACACCTCTTGTACAGTGCTATATTATAAAATACTCCTAAAATAAAGGTCAGCTGCTTTATAGCTGTGACTAAAAAGAGGGAAGCAGATTTGAAATGAATGAAATATAGTCAGAATCATTTGAGCAGTTTTTCTTAGGGTTTTACAAACCCTCTCTTACTTGCCCTTACTCCCAGCTCCATACCATTCTCCTAGAGGAGCATGGCCATCTGTTAGAAAATCACAAAACATTGCCATAGAGAGGCCATTATTCTCATATCACTAAGTGATATTCCTCAGATATGTTGGATTATAAATAAAGGCTTAAAATAATTGTTCTACTATTTTTAAAGTTTTTCAAACATAAAAAAAGATCAAATTTATTCAATCTGAGATATAATCATTTAATAATTAAAAAACAGAATATATTATATACATTAAGTATATATTAAAATTATCTGGTCAGAAAAGTAAAAGGTCAACAGAAAGAGGGGGGCACACCTCATCAGCCAGGGTACCTGCACAATGAATATTTGTATACCGAACCCTTATTTGTACCCCACAATTTTAAAATTAAAAAAAAAGAATAATTTACTTACATCAATGGAAAAGCAAAAAATGGAAGTGTCATGGCAAGTCTTGCTGTAAATTCATCCGGAAGATACCACAGGTATACAATTAAGCATGTAAACAGATAGAGAACTGAGGAATAGAGAATTAATCTTCCAACCCATAATTTTTGTAATCTCTGATTTTTTTCCCTAAATTCTTCCAATGCTTGAATTTCCTGTTAAGAGAAAATTATTCCATATTACTAAATTTCAAACTTCATTAAAAAAATTAAATGTTAAAAGATTTTAACATGACAGAAAGACTATATTTAAGAAAGAACTCTTGGCCAGGTGCAGTGGCTCACGCCTATAATCCCAGCATTTTGCAAGGCCGAGGCGAGAGGATTGCCTGAGTCTAGGGGTTAGAGACCAGCCTGGGCAACTTGGTGAGACCTCATCTCTACAATAAATCAAGAAAATAAATAAATAACTGGGTGTGGTGGCATATGCCTATGGTTCCAGCTACTTGGAAAACTGAGGCAGAAGGATTGCCTGAGCCCAGCAGTTGGAGGATGCGGTGGTCATGAGCATGCCACTGCACTCCAGCGGACGACAGAGTGAGACTCTGACTCAAAAAGAAAGAAAGAACTCTTGAAATTCAATGAAATGTAATACCTTAAGAGTTTAAAACAAGACATAATATGAAAAAGAAAAGTAAAAAGAAAGTTAAAAAGTTCTACTGCCTATTCTGACAAATCACTTTTTATAATGCAAAATTAAACACTTTTTAAAAAATTTTAGAATCGTGGGGTATATGTGAAGATTTGCTACATAAGTTCCACTAGGTGAGGTTTGGGCTGCTAGCAAGCCAAAGTACTATTTTTAACATATCCAGTTGGCAAAAGATTAGAGGAATGAAATTAGCAACAGTAAATAATATTTGTTGAGTCAAACAAGTAGCAACTCTCCCGGTATAAAACCCAAAAAGAAATGTGGCAATAAAGAAAAGATTAAAATTAAAACAGTGGCCGGGCTCAGTGACTCAGCCTGTAATCCCGCGCCTTTGGGAGGCTGAGGTGAATGGATTGCCTGAGCTCGCGGGTTCGAGATTCGCCTGGGCAGCAAGACCTCATCTCTACAATAAATCAAAAAATCAGCCGGGCGTGGTAGCACATGCCTGCAATTCCGGCTACTTGGAAGGCTGAGGCGGAAGGATCGCCTGAGCCCAACAGGTCAAGGCTACAGTGGCCGGGAGCAGCCACTGCACTCCAGTCTGGGCAACAGAGTGAGACTCCAACTCAAAAAAAAAAAAAATTAAAACAGTGATCCACACTAGATTCTTTTAGTTAATTCATCACTCTCAATGTTCCCAGGGAATAATGGGAGAAATAATGACAGAAAATATAAAAAATAAAGAAAGCTGGGAAGATTATAGAGACTGATGAATATTGTTGCAGACTATCTTATAATCTATTTTATCCTATCTGTTACAATGTTGCAGACTATTTTATAATCTATTTTATCCTATCTTTTATACCATGCTGGAGATCTAATTTCATTTTAGTTGGCTCTATTACTTGATATAGACGTCTTAAGTAACAGATAGAATTTGGATATTTTTGAGATTATGTAATATTAAAGCTCTCAGACTTATTCTATATCATCTCTAAATCCCCATACCAGATATGGTCTCCAAAATAATATATACTAAAATAATATTTACTTAATACTTAAAATGAATTAAAATACTTCACAAAGAACATACCTTATCTATACTTTCTAGAACTTCTACAGTTGAAGGTTTTGTCTGTTGTGGAAACAGAAATAAGAGATGCATTATATATAATGTGTTACCAAACTTAGAAACATTTTGATTTATATAATCATAAAATAACATTTTAATTCAAAATTTAATTTAAATGTTGTCAAACAATATGTATTCCACCTTACAACTAATATTTATTTAAATAAAAATTATAATTACAAACAGAACTACAAAATATTAAAAAAATATGCTGGGCATGGTAGCTCACTCCTGTAGTCCTAGCTACTTGAGAGGCTGAGCCAGAAGAATCACTTGAGCCCAGGTGTTTGAGGCTCCAGTGAGCTATGACAGCACCACTGCACTCCTGCCTGAGCAAAAGAACAAGGTCTTGTCTCTAAAAAAACAAAAATAAAAATAAATCAAAGAAATAAGCATTTTTCCAACTTAACTTCTTAGTCCTAAGAAGGACTTTCAACTCCAATAACACAACTTTTACCATTCTTAACTTCAATAGAACATTCTTTTATAAAGAGAAACAAATTTTCCTCCAAGAAAAATTTTCTTAGATATCATTATTCAAAATAATTTATACATTAAAAAATTCAAAGACTAAAAACGGTCTGATTTACTATTGCTAAAAGTTCACCTAGGACTCTGGAGGTCAAAATCAGCAGGCTATCTTCTTTCTGAATTCCTAAAGTACTTTTTTGAAGATACGATTTTAAGAGGGCATTTAAAAATACTTCATTATAGCACAGATATTTTTTATACACCTGGAATAAAAAACAGCCAAAATGGCTCATATAATAATTGAGAAAATATTTACCAATCTCATACTCAATAATCCAAGAGGGTAATGAATATCAATTCATTGCAATTCCCATAAAAGTTGTTAACATTGGGGTGAACCATACGAAATTGCCATTTTGGTAAGTCAAAGCAGTTGAATATTGGCAATTTCATATGATTTAAACTAATAAGAAAGACAAAGCAAGAAGCAATACATTTGATCTTCAGATTATCAGAAGGTCATAACGAGGCGAGTCAATATAATATCAAACCAAAATAAGGCTGTTCCAGCAATAGTTCAAAAACTAAATTATGTATGAAGTATATAGTTAGACACCATTATTATGGTTGTAAGGAGTCAAAAATAAGCAATTTGTCCTAGACTACTTTATCTCCTCTAACATTAGAAAAGAGCAGTTAGCAACATAAGTTACATTTTCTAGCTCTAAATTTGAGACATTTCCTCTAAGGATTATCCAATAAAATCAAACTGCATTTCTAATTTTGTTTAACCTATAATTCCTAAAAGCAGATATAGTGTAACTTCAGTCAGTATTTGTGACAAACTTTAAGTAAAAAGATATAGTCTGTAAAAAACATAAATATGGTCTACAACACTTATTTTCAACTACCTTCCAATTAAGTTTGAAATTTGGACAGTATAAGAGGAGAGAAAGAAAAGGCAATTCTTTGTACAAAAATACATAAATATGGAAATAAAAGTAATTCATAAGACAAAGTGAAATGATTCTGTTAAACACAGACATTAGACACCTATAGAACAAGTAGAACTATTAAAATAAAGTCCAAATAGAAAAATAATTCAGAAGAAATACAAGTAATTAAATAGGGTTAAGGATAATAATCTACTACTAAGGGCTATATCACAAAGACTTCCATAAATAGGTTTATGTGACACTTTTATGTTAGACATAAGAACTAGTCATAAAGAAAAGTAACTTACCCTCCATCGAGAAAATAATCCACCCATATTTTATTTGTAGAAACTGGGCACAATGATAAATATCATCAATTGTCCAAAGGAATTCACAGCTAGGAAGTAAAGCAAATATTTTAAAATTTTAAGTTAAACACAGAGTATATCCACTATAAAATCTAGATGTTGCAATACTACCTAAAAATACTATGAAATTTTAATTTCTTTGACTCCACCTATATGGAACTTTAATTCAAACAGTCGCTTTGAATTAAATGACTGAGTCCACCTTTTTAAAATCTAGTCTTCAAAACCAGGACATATTTAAAAGTGAAAATAAAGTTGGAAAGACTTTTTAAACGATAAAGCATTTTTGAAGTATATTACTCATACCACCTTGCTATTTTCTGTTGTTTAAAGTAGGTTCTTTATGTAGTTCTTGCAACAAAAGTTTTACTATACTACTTTCATTCTGCATACTTAAATAAAACCATTTCTATCATTCAGCTATCTCACAATTAAAATAGTTAGTTGTAATTAGGAGTTACTTTGAATTAGGAGTTTACTGTTCAGAATACCATCACCTTACAAGTACTAATAGGAAGCCAACTGGGTTTTGAATAAGAAACAAGGCTACCCATGACCTTTAGCAAATCATTTAATGATTCTGAGCCTTCATTTTTTCTCTTCTATAAATTTGAGTTAATAAGACCACCACTTTCTCACAGGATAGTTTTTAATATTGCCATCTTACAGAAAAGCTAAATGAAAAGAAGTTTAGAGATATGTCCAATAACTCAGAAGAAACATGGCAAAAAGCCACTTTATCTGCAGACTTCTTGTCTCTATTACTAAACACTACTGTTCAACACCCAAATAGACATTTCTCTCTGAAATTTTGACCTTCAAGCTAGTTGACCTTCATTTCAGCTGACTGTGTAGCCCCTTCTTTTAGTTGTTTTCCTATGACTCTCAAATGTTTTATAATAGACTCAGCAATAATATATTCTAAATATAATGTAATATATTATATTTATTAACATATATAATAAATATATATACTATATTATATTTAATAAAAGTATAAGTTTCTATGAAGACATTAAATGAATCTAAAAACCTACTTGAGATGCTATAAGTAATCACCAAGAAAAGTGAGTTAGAGAGGCGGGAGATTCATATGAACCACTTAAAAGTACACATCATTCCACTATTTTGGAACTAAGTGTATGGAATCTAGCACAGTGTTTTGAATACAAACAACCTACACATTTTGTTTGAAACAGAGTTATATCTCTCCAAGTCAAATTTGTAGCCATCATACCCTGAGACTATGATCATAATTTTTAATATTTGAAATGAATGACAACCACAATATCAGTTACACATCTGATTAAGTACATTTCTATCAGATCCTAAAACAACTGCTTTACATGAATTTTATCATTCAGATACTAATATCCCTCCATTTTACAAATAAGAAATCTGAGACTAGAAAAGTGAAATAATTTGCTAAGTAAGTCCCCAAAGATATTAAGTAGAAGAGATGGAGCATGTTTTTTTTTTTATTTTTTTAAAACACTCAACTTCCCAATAACATAAAATCAGAAATAAAGTCTGCTTTATATAGATTAGATTGGAGTATTTATATATAAAACATATGAAAGTCTCTCTGACATTCTCAAGTAGCTGATGAACAAAACTACTGAAATGGAAAGTAATAACACAAGAGACAGTATTAGTATAATGTATCTTGTAGCTCAATTCCTTTATGTGACTAAATTTGAATGCCTAAATCTGCATTAAAGAGAAGTTAAATGATTTGCCAAAATCATGTAGCTCTAGCCAGGGGTAGAACTGGTACTGGAAGCCTACAAGCAAAGCCTTTACCTGTTTACTGCACATCACTTTTTAAAAAAGCATAATATGAAGCATACATAATATCATACACAATTAGTACCAGTTTTGACATTATTTGCTTGGAGAATTGTTTTGGAATAAAACAATCTACAGTTTAGCATCTAAGAGCCCTGAAACAGGGGACTGTGCTTTTACTTTTGTCCTTGAAAACAACATTAGGGTGATAGTCATTAAATGCTGTATCTATGATTTCAAATTCATAACCAAAGAAACAGTCATTTCTCATTGTTCCAATAATTTTTCTATCAAATTCTGATATTAAAGAAACTAATTAACTGTAATGCACACATAATGGGTGGTACTTTCCAACAGACATGAAAACAAATTAAATAATTAAATCAAATATTTCTCTATAGCTTTAATTTCTTACCTCTTCTATATTCAACCACTGGTTCTCTCCTTTCCACCCAAACATCTTAGCTCCAATGCCTGTTGCCCATCACTTACTATGAAATCTTAGACAAATAACTTACTTACCCTGTTACTCAATTTCCTCATCTGTAAAAGAGGGACATAGATAGTTGAGGACCCTCCTAAATGTTGGGAGGCTTAATGACATAACGTATTCTAAACTACTTACAACAGCGCCTGACACATTATAATTGCTCAGTACAAATTGCTTTTACTGATATGGTTGTTGTTTCCTAATCCATCTCCAGTTTCTTTCAAATACATGGAAAATACATGGGAAACAAATAACCCTAGTATTTCCTTCTGCAGCATAAATTAATTTGTTTGCCCTTAATTGTACAGATGGTTCACACCAGCTTGCCTCCAAGAACTCTTCCATGAACGTGTACTGAGAAGTCCCTTTCCACTCTGATACCACAATGAGACCAGTCATGACCTTAAGAGCTGGGTGCATCTAAATGTGTCTTTCAGTGAACAATAATGTCCACCATATTACTTGAATGTTTTCTACTAGTTGCTATTCACACTCAGGTAGGTTTAGATGTCAGTATTTAAAATCTTGGAAAGTGTTTTTCTTTGATTTCGGCTCACTTCAAGTTACATTAAAATAATGGAGTAAAATATTTCTGGATTCAAGATATGGCTCAACCGCACACTAGCTATTTGATCTTGGGCAAATTACTTATACTCTCAGCCTCAGTTATTATACTTGCAAAGTGGTAAAAATATTTACACTTCATAGAATTGTTATATGAATTAAGCAAAATTATGTATCACTTGGCACAATGTCCAACACATAGTAAGTGCTTAATAAATTGTAGCTATTAGTATTATTATTACCAGAAAACATATGTAATATTTATAAGGAACACATTTTTTTCTAACTTCTTATAAATAAAGCACCTATTTCATAATTTTTAAATTGGAAAATAAAATTACAGTTTTCATTTTTACTGAAACTATATTGTTCTCATTTGCTGTAGCATAAAAAGTAAAGCAATATATTCTGCAGATTCTTCCATTAAAATAACTTTGTAGGCCTTTGGAAAAATAAAACAGCAAAGGAAGTTTAGTTCCAAACTTAAGTATAAACTATTTAATCACCGTCCACTGCATCTCCATAACATACTGTACTATACAACTTAAGGGTAAAGGTGATTTGTTCTAGAACTCTAACTCTTAAATTTCCTAATTGAAAAGGCAATTCTGAAATATCCCAAACTACATTTACTGCCCTCACAAAAAAAATTAATGAAAAGCAATACACCTGCAAAAGCACTTTTAAAAATGATTAAGTGCTTGTTTTCATCGTAAGTCAATGTTCATTTTGAACTAAACATTACCAAAAAATTTCTATTAGAAAGATTTCTGTATGAAATCATAACTTTTTGAGAGCCATATAACCTCTCCCTTTTCTTATATTCTCTTCCAAGTTAATAATATATAAACACCATGTAAATTTATTAACAGCACTACTGAGCTGATCTCAATAGATGACAGAGAACCTTATTTTAATTTTAAATGCACCATTCTTGTTTAAGAAAATGTGTTCAATATCAACTTGGTCTTCAAGGGACTACAAGACATTAGCATTCCCTGCCAGTATGAACATATTCCTGAAACTAACCTCACACCCACCTGCGAGCTCAAAATTGTCTGCTGAAGGAGTCAATTTTGTCAATGGTGGCACCCAGGCCAGAGAGAAAGAAGAAACAGTAGACACTAGCACCATAAACCAGAGGCCAAGAGGGAAAAGCGGAACATAAGAAAACTCAGTGACTCACAGGTCTTACTTAGTAGCACTATAAGAACACCATCAGCAAAACTGAGTTCACCAATCCCAACTCCTCCTCAATCTACAAACACATTAAAGAATTAAAGCGACGTATGAAGTCGATTTGTTTTTCTCCTCCTGCCACGCCTAAGACAGAACGCACCCACGCCCTTCTCCTCCACCCTCTCCCACCGCCCACCGTCTCTCAAATAAGGACAATGGCTGTGGCGCCCCTTTAAGTAGCACATAATCCACGCCCACACGCCGAGCCCAGTAGCATGACACTGACAGTTTTCAGTCCCTTCCGATCTTTCCAACTCTTGGAATCTCTGTACAGCTCAGAAAAAGAAGAGGTGGACGAATACACTCACAGCAGACAGTTTAGCATAGGATCTGCTCGTTTGGGACCTTCTGACCCCCTGCCTCGACACAGGTGGGCCGAAGAGCTGAGGCTCAAACCAATCACCACCTGGACCCTCCGAGAACGGAGCTGGGGAAACTCCCAGTCCTTGGAACGCAGGGGCGAACGGGGTCTGCAGACTTCTGCCACTGTGCTGGGAAATCAAGGCAACGCGACGCTACACCGGGTCAGCGCGCACCACAAAGGGAGTCTGAGCAGCCGCCGCCGCAGAGCTCCTAGGCCACTTGGCACCGGGCGGAGGCACCTGGGAGAGGCAAGCGGGGGAACCGGGAGCTCACGCCCCGCGGGGAAAGCTCGGCGAGCCTCCCTCCTCCTCCCCTCCCCGCAGAGCCCTCCCAACTGCCCTCATCTTGAGCACTCTACCTGCGAGAACAGGGCGCAGCCCGGCCCCGGCGTCAGCCCCTGCCAGCCTCGGCCACCACCACGCAGCCTGCCTCCGGAGCCCGCAGCAGCCGCCACTGACAGAGCGACAGGCCCCGCCAACTCCTTCCCATCAAACCCCGCGCTCCCGCCGCCCGCCAATTGGCGCCGGCGCGCGCCGCTCCCTCGTCACGTGACTGGGGCTGGCAGTTGGGCGGGGCGGGCGGTTGTCCCGGGGTTGCCTGTCCCTGTAGCCTCTGCAGCCTGCATAGGCTGCTGGTTGTCGGGTCGCAGTCGTGTACGGCTGTTTATTATGACTTAAAATGCAGTTATTTCTACCTCTTCCTCTGCCTCTTTTTCCCTTAAACCCTGCTCTGCCAAGTCTCGCTGGAGAAAGAAACCCCCGAAATTAGTGCTGGTGGTTCCAGACCGCCGCGAGGGAGAAGAGGGGGGGAGGACAAAGGGTGGAGAGGTGAGGAGGGTGGGAATGGGTGTGTCCGAAAGAAATCGGTCCCGAAGAGTACCGGATCAGCTGTCATCCAGCAGGCAGCAGAGCCACTTAAGACCCCACAGCGTTGAAGAGACCAGTTCCCAAACAAGTCAGTGGGGAAATCCAGCCTGGACCCCAGGAACGCTGGAGGCTTTATCATTCTTGGACGTCAAAAAGGGTCATTTGATGACTTGGACGCTTACCTCACCGTGAGGTAAGCTTCAAACGCCAAGTGATGTTTCAAACCTGCTGACAACAACACAAGCTTAATTTTGGATCCTAAAACTCTTAACCACAGGAACACTCTCCAGAGGCCCTGATATGAGGGGCCCATGGAAAACCGCCCAGACTATATTTGACTCAGATTTGAAACATTGCCTAAACGGTATCAAGTCTCCTTGTCAACCGGAAAAGACTAGTCTAAAGAACAAATGACACTTAAATGAGAAAAATACTAGAAATGTGCACACGGTAACATGGAGAAGGGTAGAGGAACTCCAGACAAGGGTCTTATCTTGTTTACCCCTGTGACATGTTTTTACCCTATGTGAACACATTTTTCATGGTTTTTTTTTTTTCTTCTTTGGTCACATAAACATAAAATAAAACGTTTCTATGATTTTTAAAGAATCTAATAGTTTTGATATGCTACATTTAAACCTTGACAACAGATTGTCAAGTAAGAAAAGAAACTAAGCATAGTATCTAGTTGGTAAAAAAAATAATAATTTATTTTATTAGCAATCACCAGATAATTCACTGTGGAGTTGCTTACCCTATATGCTGAAATCTTTAGTTACAGCTCTGTAAATGTGAAAGGATGAAGGGAAGGAAATTAAAGTATCTTAGTGTCATACTGTGGATGAGGCATTTTACAAATGCAGAAGAAAATGAACAAAAACATTTCGCCTGTTTTGATATAGAAATTTAACCATTTTGTTTTTCAACTTTTGCTGTCTCAAAGTATTACAGTCCTGTGTAGCTATGCAAATACATTTCACCTCAGGAAAGTTTCCTTTCCTAAGAGGACAGGGAAGAATAGTTTTTCACTTGTCAGTAAATAATTTGAGGTTTAATTGAGTCATCAACGTCTGTTGTAGAGTGGGGGAAGTACAGGAAGGTGGAGACATACAGGAGCTAGTGGATGCAAGAGACTCCAAAAACCTAATCCTGAGATAAAATTCCCTAGAGAATTGTCCTAGAAAGAGGAGAGAATCCATCTGGCAAGGGGAGGGAAGGACATATTTAATCACTAACTCATAATCCTCCCAACAGCCTTTTAAGGTTAGTATCATTTTTCAAGTGAGGAAACTGAAAAGTAGAAAGATATACATTGTTGAAGGTAACACTAAACCACTGCTTCCTTTATATCAAGAAGAGCTTTTCAAGCAAGTGAGGGAAAGACGTTACAAGCAGAGAAGTCAACATATGTACTAAGTGGCTGGACTGCAGACTACAGGGTGATTCCAAATATTAATATTTGCAAGGTCTTATATTAAGTATTGAGGATACAGAGATAAACACAACAGCTGTCCTAAAGCAGCTCACATTAATGGGAGAAACTTCAAAAAAAATACAATGCATAGTAAATAAGTGCTTTGATAGAGGCTAATGTTCAAGGTATTGGAAAATGATAAGGCAACAGCAGCCAGAGAGGGAATGTGAGGGTGCTGCTTTAAGGGAGTCTAAATGTCACCAGTTATTCCCTACTAATCCCAAGATTGTTCCGGAATAGAGTCTAAGGACATGAAATCCAAAGAACATCAGAGAATACTTTGAGGAAACAAACTGCTCTAGCCAATGGAATTCTAAATGGTCTGATTTTACAAATATATTGAACTTATTATCTGGGTGCTATGAGAATAGGAGCATTTATTGATCTTTTCAGAGAGGTTAGGGAAGACTTCTCTGAGAAAGTCACTCGAATGGAGATCTGAAGGATAGGAAAATGAAGAAGGGAGAAAGGGAAACAGAGAATATTATGCATACAGGCCTTCTGTCAGGGGGAGCATTGCTAGTCCAGCATTGCCAGCAGTACTGAAAGGTGGCCATTGTGGCTGGAACACAGGTCACAGGGGGAGAGTGCTGCAGTGTGAAGCTGGAGACCAGAATAAGCAGGATCACATTGGCCATTTTGACAACGTAATCTTTTTCTTAAGCACAAAGGGCAGGAGGGTATTTGACCTGATCAAATCGGTGTTTTTAAAAGATCATTCCAGCTGCAGTGTGGGAAACACAAGCATTGGACCAACTAGATCTACAAGTGGTGGTTAGTGTTGCTGAGAGTTCAAGCCGACTGGGTAAGAACAAGGAGATGGAGATAAGTGGAGGAAATGGAATAATGTAGGAAATAAAATGTCGGTCCCGAAATAAAATGGGAGGTGTTGGTATTGGACTCAGATGTGGTGGGGTAGGATGCAGTGAGGGAGAGGAGAAGTCAAAAGACTCAGGATTTCTGGTGGACCCAGTGGGTACATAGTAGTGCCTTGCCATCACTGAGATATAGAGGACACTGGTTTAGGGGCAGAGGGTAATTTCAATTTGAACATATTGAGTTTAAGTTGTTTTTGTAACTTCAAGGGGAGACAAATATGGATCTCTGGGCCTGCAGCACTGAAAGGAAGTCTGGGCTGGAAAAAATATGTTACAGTTTGTAATATGTTCTTTCCTGCAGGATATTTGTTTTTCCAAAATCCAAATATCTGTATTATAAATAAGATGTTTTTGTTTTTAAGTATATTGAAAAGAACAGAATTAAAAGTGAAGTTCTCTGAGCAGTTTCCCGGGCTTCTCTGAGAATCACCAGTGTTTAAAATCCAAATTATCAGGTCTCTCCCCCAGAAATTCTGGTTTCACTTTTCTGGTATGGGGCCTAGAGATCTGTATTTTTAACAAGTGCCACTATTGATTCTTCTTGTCACTGAGTTTCTCTGGGCAGTGGTACATCAGTGTCAGAGGCTACCTGCGTATAAGTCACCAAGGTGCTTATTAAAATAGATACTCTTGGGCCCTGTAAACTAAAATCTTCAGGAATAACAGGGTTGGGAGGAATGAAAAAGGGAAAGTGGAACTTGTCATGTGGTCCAAGACCTAGTCCTGGGCTCCCCACTGGGCAGCTCAGAGAAAAGTGGGTGTCCTTTGCTGGATGATGCGCATTTAGGCAGTTGGCAGCCCTCACAGGCTGCAGTGATAACAGCTTTCCTAGTCTCCTGCTCTGTCCACTGAAATGAGCCTCAGCCCACTCAGATCAAGGACCATCCTCCCTCAGTGTAATGTTCTAACACCTTGATCACTTGGCAAGGCTTTTTTATTCTTGAGAACCTACTTTGGAAGTGTTTTTAAAGACTGAGCTGTGTCAGGAAGAAAACAGTTTTCTTCTGCTTTTATTTTTTTTTTTTTAATGAGTCAAGGTCTCAATCTAACACCCAAGCTGGAGTGCAGTGAGCCCATCATGGCTTAATGCAGCCTCGACCTCCTGGCCTCAGGCAATCTTTCTACCTCTACCTCCTAAGTAGCTGGGACTACAGACACATACCACCTTGCCTATATGATTTTTTTTTTTTTGGTAGAAATTGTTGCTTAGGTTGGTCTCAAACTCCTGAGCTGAAACAATCCTCCTGCCTCAGCCTCACAAAGTTCTGGGATTACAGGCATGAGCCACTGCTCCCAGCCATCCTCTGCCCTCTTACGTTCTGTCTTTGGAGGGTGCAAATTAAAATGACAAAGACAGCAAGAGAAAAAACATTAATTACATGTGTACACACAAAAAAATTTCACAAATAAATATGACTCGAGCTCATATACCATCTTAATAGGGGATGAAAAGGGGCAGAGGAACCCTTCTGGAGGACAAATGACTTCTTCAGAGGAGGGATGGGGAGAAAAAGCACCTAGAGAAAAATAAATGTCTTCTTGGAAAGACAAATGGACCTTTAGGAGAATAGATGGAAGACACAGTAATTTTGCAGGCCAGGTACAGTGGCTCATACCGGTAGTCCCAACACTTTGAGAGGCTGAGGCAGGAGGATCCCTTGAGCCCAGGAGTTTGGGACTGCAGTGAGCTATGATTGTGCCATTGCATCCGTGTCTGGGTGACAGAGCGAGACCCTGTCTTTAAATAAAATTTTTTTAATTTAAAAAAGATTTTGTAACAATGTCTGTGGTGCTGATTTCTCCTCTCTGAGAATGTGAGTTGCTCCCCAGGAAGGGATTTATAACAATGGAGTTCTTTTGGGAGGCTTTTAGGCAGATAAGGGATTTCAGGAACTCAAATGCCTTTAGCTCAAAATAATGTCTATGCCATGGTGGCTTATTCTGGACCCTTTCTATTGTTTGTTTTCTTTTTTTTATTCTTCTTTTTTTTTGTTGTTGGAGTCTCACTCTATGTAGTTGGTGGCACACTTACAGCCACTGCAGCCTCGACCTGCAGGGCTCCAGCGATCCTTCCACTTCAGCCTTCCAAGTACCTGGAACTACAGGCATGAGCCACCATGCCCAGCTAATTTTTTGATTTATTGTAGAGGTGAGGTCTCACCAAGTTGCCCAAGCTGGTCTAGAACCCGTGAGCTCAGCCAATCCTCTCACCTCAGCCTCCCAAAGTGCTGGGGTTATAGGCGTAAGCCACCTCACCTGGCTTCTTTTTTTTCTTTGTAGCCTTGCTGTAGCAATTCCAAGTCTCTGTGAGACTGTAGAT